CAAATGTCTTAGCAGTTTCTTTGCCCTAGAGCCCAGGGCAAATTTTCTCCAAGCCATTATTTAGCTCTGGAGGTGATCTCTTTTGCAGGCTGAAAAGTGCTCCAAGTACTTCCAACTGACTCTGTGGTATTTGACCTCACTCTCTCTCTCAAAGAATTGGAAAGCAGTGGTTTAGATCTCTTGATGACTGGTTTTGTTGGCAATGCTTCCCCCTTTCAACGTGACTGTTACAGCTGAAACCAACTGCAGTTTGCCCTTTTAGAAACACCTGCTATGATTAGGAGTGTGAGTTTCCAGGGAAGAGAGAGTCACGAGCCCGGAAGGGGCGGCTGGTCCAAGACCCGGCCCATCTTCTGGTCTCTCTCCAGAGGGCAGCCACCTGCTCCGGAGTGAACTCACCTCCGGAACCCCTTGAAGGTACAGCAATCAAGTGGGAATGTAAAGAGACGCCCATTTTTCCCCTTGTATTGGTGGGAGACTCAATATCGAAAATCTCTTACTCCTTTAAAATGTACCAGAGTTGGAAGAGAAAAAATGTGAGTAGGTGACAGGAGATGCAGAGGCTGAATGAAGGAAGAGGCACAGAGTTGCCAGGATTCTTATGACAAAACGGGAGGCAGAGGGAAGTCCTTAGGAATTATGACGCTGTTTCACATCTAAAGTCATACTGGGAAAATGGTCAGCACTGCCTGATGTTCAGCGTCTTTGCATTAAGAAATACTCCTTACTTGTGTTCCAAACGTAAAGGTTAGCCACAGGTAAATGAGATGCCTCTGACCCTTAGGGCATCCGCTATTGCTGAGCATGAGGCTGCCCTTCTTGCCCCCAGTGGAGAGAGTGGGGGTTAGGGTTAGTCAGCTTTCTGTTACTAAGACAACATCCCTGAGAAAATGACTTAAAGAGGTAATGGTCCGTTTGGCTTGGTGTTTGGGAGGTTGCAGTCCTTGGTTGCCTGCTCCATGGGTGTGGGCCTGAGGTAAGGCAGCACAGCGTGGCGGAAGGTGGGGGCTGGCAAATCTGCTCACCTCATGGCAGCCAGAAACGAAGGAAAGGGGGGCACTGAGGACAAGGACATAGCCTGGTTTATGCCCCCAGGGACCTGCTTCCTCCAGCCAACCCCTACCTTGCAACAGCATATTCAGCCATGAACGCATGGGTGGATCCATGTCTAGGTGAGTGCCCAGGGTCTAATCCCCTTCCAAATCTGCCTCTGACCACAGAAGCCTTTTGGAGGACTGTCTGTTCTTCGGTATTTTGGGATAAGCTCTCACTTTGTAGCCCAGGCTGGCCTCCCGAGTGATGGAATTACAGGTGTGCACATCTCACCCAGTCTGGGGGACACTTTTGATCCAACCCATCATAAGGTGTTCTCTTAAGGACTCAATCTTAGGATAAGCTTTCTCCTTTTTCCTTTCTGGCGCATTCTCTCTCTCTCTCTCTCTCTCCCGAGTGATGGAATTACAGGTGTGCACATCTCACCCAGTCTGGGGGACACTTTTGATCCAAACCATAATAAGGTGTTCTCTTAAGGACTCAATCTTAGGATAAGCTTTCTCCTTTTTCCTTTCTGGTGCATTCCCTCTCTCTCCCTCTCTCTCCCTGGCTTCTCTTGCTCCCAGGACACTATTTTCTTTCTTATTTTTTCTATTCATTTACTGGTAGTTGTTTTTTAGTCTGTTTTTCTTTTGGTTTTGGTTTTTGGGAGCTTGGAGGGGCTGGGTGGGTTAAGACAGGGTCTCACTCTATGGCCCAGGCTGGCCTTGGACTCACAAAGATCCTCTATCTCAGCTTCCCAAATTCTGAGATTACAGGTGTGCACCACCGCACCTGGCTTTTGTTTTTTTTCTATTTAATAAGCACTTATTGATTAGTCTCCACGGCTAGGCTTTTTCCTAGCCTCTGCCCATAGCCAGAAGCCCTCACTTTCAAGACCTTTCGTGACACATAATGAATGCCTTCATTGTCTCGGCCCTTTTTATTTTCTCTTCCTCTTCCCCCCTTCCCCAGACCTCTTCCCACCTGCCAAAGGCCTACTCCCCTGTTTCCTGTCATCTCAGAGTCAGCCATTTTCAAGTACACTAAGTATTTGGGGGGTTTCCTGCAAGATAATTAGGTAAACAAAGCCTCAATATAAGGAAGTATCACTGCACACACTATGCACAGCTGGAAAAAGTAAGAGGCAAAACAGCCTCCTATTACTCAGAGTTAAACTTGGCCGGAAATATTCAACCTCTTCCTAGGCCTCTTTCTCTGCATCCTAGAGCGGGGGTGGCAGGGCAGGGGGATGCTGGGGATCAAATCTCATGTGTGCTAAATGTGTGCTAACCAAAGAGCTGTGCCACCAGCCTAACAACTGCGGACGTGTGCACACTGTAGGAAGCTGGTGAAGGCTACAATTTAGGCTCCCGTGCCTGCAGGCACAGGAATAGCTCCAAAAAGCTGTTTCATCTTGTTTTTGAAGAAATCTGTATCTATCCACATTCATAGAGTAAACTGAATCTTTTTACTGCAAGAAGCGATTGGGAGCCAGCTGACGCCCAGCCCAGACAGAGCTGACCACGGGTGACTTCCCTGCGAAACTGCGCCTGGATAACTAGACAACCCTTGCCCACGCTGCCCTCCGCCTCCTCCAGCCCTCCACGGCCTGTGTCACCTCCCTTCTACCCAGAAGCTCAGGCCCCCAACCCGTTGTTTAATTGCATCCCAGATTCGACCAGCTTGCCACTGTCTGAGTCTCATACTTTGAGTATGGCTTCCGTGCCTATGTATATCAACACATTTTTATATTTCTGTCAATCTGTGTATTGCCAGTTTAACTCATAGAACACATTCTAGAACACATTCCAGGTCAGGCGTTTCTCTCTTCTTTTGGTCCTCACATCCAAAGCTCTTTTTGTTCTCAAAGCCTGGTTCGTTCGCTGGCGTTTGGGTTATGTCTGGTCAGGCCCTATGGAAGGTGATGGCATCGGGGGAGTGATGTAGCTCTGTCCTCTCTTGGGAGGCAGAGTCTAGTAAGAGGAGGACCGCTGGGTGGCCGAAAATGTGACTGGGAAGACACGTACTGTCCTCAGCTCCTCCTTCCTCTCGCTTTTTTCTGGCCTCCGCTCTCCAGTCCTCCCACACACACACAATTTTCTGATAGCCTCCGTAACATATCCCGGGCCCGGTACCAGTCTCACATCCAGCTGTGACTCTTGTCTTCTGTCAGCCAGCGCTGCTTTCTCTAAATGGTAACTCCTTCGGTACACCATTTGACGTTCCGGAAATCTGGAAGAAGCAACCTTAACGAGCTCTTCGCGCATAACTAATAAGACGTGTTTGAAGCCATCCCAGACCTAAAGAATCAGAATCTTTATGTTACTATCCACAGGTCATTCTCATCTATGTGTATGTATATATGTATATTTTCCCCCCTGTACCTGGAATCGAGCTCAGGACCTTGAGCTTGTCAGACAGGCATGGTGCCACTGAGCTACATCCCCAGCCCTCATCTATATTTTAGTACAAGTACGGACTCAATGTATCTGAGCCACCAAATAATTTCATTTCAGTCCTAAATGAAACAAATGAGGGAGCACAGGATGCACAGGGACTTGGAATGCTGAATAGTCATTAGGTGGCTGGCTATAGTGACGCCCACCGTCCCGCCTGGCCTGAATGAGATCTTCCTGAGTGAACGGGGCCCCTCAGCAGGCAGGCTGTTCCCAGTAGAGAAGACAGATTACAGAATACACCATCTCCCCAAGAAGTCAGTGAAGGTCTGTACACCCACGCTGTCCTTAGACACTCACAAACATTCCTTGTTACAGTCCCCTTCCAAGAATCTATATCAGCTGAGTTTTATTTCCCAGGTAGTTGCTGAGATCTAACCCCCAATTTCAGACCCTGTCCACTGCCATACATTCTTCCTCACAAAGCCCGTCGGGAGTGGCTTCACACGTGCCATGTATCACACCCATCTGTAATCCCAGCTACTTGGGAAGATGAAGCAGGAGGACGGCAAAGTTTTAAGACCAGTTTGGGCAACTTAATGAGAATGTCTCCTTTTAAAAAAAAGAAGAGGGAGGG